ACTGTCTCTGCCTCTCCAGCTCGTCGCGGGTTAGTCCTTCATACATTACTGCCAATAAGTTATTAAATTAAACCACATAATCCATCACCGACTTAATCATCTAATTTAATTGAGTTCACTTTATCCATATTATTGCTTTTTCATAGTCCTTTAATCTTCTTTAATTCGAGTTGATTTTTTACCTCTTTGCTCCACATTTCACTAAACTTTGCTACCTTACATTTAATACATAAATTCAATCGGTATGGAGGTTTTACTTTAATTTAGTAGTATAAATTTTTTCCATGTATTTTCTTATATCAGGCTTCCTAATTAATCCTATCAGCCATTTCATTTTTTTTACATTTTCACTTGTGTAGACAACCTTCAGTAAAAACGACCTATTGTGTTACCTACGTTTTTATTTCGCCTGTTCAGCGTGATCACATATTCTTTCGTTTATTTATTTTCAATTTTCATGTTTTTAATATACGACTCTTCCAACATTACTTCCGTTTTAGTTTCATTTTTGTCTTATGGGTTGATTCCAAACTTAGAAGTGAGCAGACCTCGTCTTCGCAACTTGTTCGTGTTGTCAGGGCGACTTAGTTGAAAGCTCCTTGTACAAAGTCCTCTTCTATAGTGGTTATAATTCCCTGCATTGGACCGTGGACTTGATAAATTCATACAGGCTGAACCGACATCGTCAGCGAGTCTTGCCATTCTCAGCACCAAGCTACAACTCGTCAAGTACACAAGTGATGTCAATCTCTTGATCAATTCTCTGCCTAAACATTTGTGCTATCATTCCTCTTTCCGACCCGGCCCATCATCTAATCGTTACCCTCTTATTACACTCGCGCCCTATTACACACGAAGAAGCTGTGAAAACGAAGTCAATCTACTTATATACATCGAAAGTTCTACCATACCAAAGGCTACACCATCTTGGTCTTCAGACCTTTCCAAATTTGCATAGCCTAGAGGGTGGAAAACCTTTGTATTCGTTACTTAAATAAAAGTGAAAATTCTATAGCCATACACAAATTATTAGCATGATACATGAATTTTACTTCTTCTCATGTGCTTAACTATGCATTATTTGAATGGATGAAACACTATAAATATTATTTTTACATCTTACACACATCAAATAGAAAAGTTCTCGTCGAGGACTCCCAAAGTGATGACTCGTATTGCACTCCCGGAGTCGTTTCCACACGCCGTCAGGCCGCCATCATCTCAGCTTCTTCGTCGCCTCAGTACAAAACACCAGCGTCTGGCTTCTTTCCATGCCAATCTGCCAAGCAGTTCACTCTGAGTCCAAGTCCCTTGACCGAATTGAATTCGAGTTCAGCTGCAATAGGGGACATTAGAACTAGAAAGCCGAGTCGATTTGATCAGGTAGGCGCGCTATTACCCACCTTTTTTTGAAAGATTTGCCCAGTCATAGCTCTATCTTGTGATTCTTGAAATCATTCGCTTGTTAGGCTTCTCTCAACTCAATCTTTTGTTAGCTTTCTTAATTTTATCTTGGATACCTATAATCAATCTCTGTAAAAAGGTTAAACCTATGACTAACAATTAGGCCGAAT